ATTCCTTACCTCTTTCACACATAGCTTACATTCTTTACTTCTCTCTCATTCCTTACCTCTTTCACACATAGCTTACATTCTTTACTTCTCTCTCATTCCTTACCTCTTTCACACATAGCTTACATTCTTTACTTCTCTCTCTCTCATTCCTTACCTCTTTCACAGTTGTTACACTCCACAAGGCTGGCCAGAGAGTCCTCGTAGACCCCACACATATGGCAGCACGGATCGTCCCCCTCTTTCTCTGACAAAAGTTCCAATAACAATCAGGCAATGTTTCTCTTATGCACAAACAACAAAAACAAAACTGGTTCCATATGACATGCTGAAAGCTGCAAGCCGCAGGATCACTAGAGAAAATAACAAAAAGGCCTTAAAGTTAAATCTTTGACACAAGAAATCTCCGCCCAACACAACTCCTTCAACACGTTCTATGACAGCCATCCAGTGTCTGTGTGTGGAAGAAGCCAGCGTTAAGACTTCCGTGGACTTCTCGTTAAGACATCCGTACTTCTCTTTAAGACATCCGTGGACTTCTCGTTAAGACATCCGTGGACTTCTCGTTAAGACATCCGTGGACTTCTCGTTAAGACATCCGTGGACTTCTCGTTAAGACATCCGTGGACTTCTCGTTAAGACATCCGTGGACTTCTCGTTAAGACATCCGTGGACTTCTCGTTAAGACATCCGTGGACTTCTCAGGGAGAACTGTTTACCTCAGGGTCACAAGCCACAAATCTGGTTCCAACAATCTTCGTGAATGCTTTTTTTTCAGTTTTAGGAAGTTTTACTGCATTCGCAACAAAAAACAGGTCATAAAAGTGCCGAAGATTATAAGGTGTTACAAAACAAAGAAAAGAAGGAAGAGAGATAAGGACGATATCTAGATATCTATTGGATGGGAAAGGAGCAAATCACAGCGCAGGCCAAAGACGAGGAGAAAGTTTTGAGACACAGAGGGGAAAATGACTGATACAGACAGAGGGGAAAATGACTGATACAGACAGAGGGGAAAATGACTGATACAGACAGAGTGGAAAATGACTGATACAGACAGAGGGGAAAATGACTGATACAGACAGAGGGGAAAATGACTGATACAGACAGAGGGGAAAATGACTGATACAGACAGAGGGGAAAATGACTGATACAGACAGAGGGGAAAATGACTGATACAGACAGAGGGGAAAATGACTGATACAGACAGAGGGGAAAATGACTGATACAGACACAGAGGGGAAAATGACTGATACAGACACACAGGGGAAAATGACTGATACAGACACAGGGGAAAATGACTGATACAGAGGGAAAAATGACTGATACAGACACAGACAAACCATCCAACAAACATCCATTCTGATACTTATTCACAAAAACAACTCTACTTCAGATATAAACAAAAACAACTCTATTTCAGATATAAACAAAAACAACTCTATTTCAGATATAAACAAAAACAACTCTATTTCAGATATAAACAAAAACAACTCTATTTCAGATATAAACAAAAACAACTCTATTTCAGATATAAACCCAAAAAAAACCCAACTCTTATTCCAAATAAACAAAAACAACTCTGAAATAAGTAAACAAAAAATGTCCGTCCACGATTTTTGCGGAAGACATGGACAGTGTCCACTAGCTTGTAACTTTGTCCACTAGCTTGTAACTTCATCTCATAGACAGTGTCCACTAGCTTGTAACTTTGTCCACTAGCTTGTAACTTCATCTCATAGACAGTGTCCACTAGCTTGTAACTTCATCTCATAGACAGTGTCCACTAGCTTGTAACTTCATCTCATGGACAGTGTCCACTAGCTTGTAACTTTGTCCACTAGCTTGTAACTTCATCTCATAGTGTCCACTAGCTTGTAACTTCATCATCTCATGGACAGTGTTCACTGGCTTGTAACTTCATCTCATAGACAGTGTCCACTAGCTTGTAACTTTGTCCACTAGCTTGTAACTTCATCTCATAGACAGTGTCCACTAGCTTGTAACTTCATCTCATAGACAGTGTCCACTAGCTTGTAACTTTGTCCACTAGCTTGTAACTTCATCTCATAGACACTGTCCACTAGCTTGTAACTTTGTCCACTAGCTTGTAACTTCATCTCATGGACAGTGTCCACTGGCTTATAACTTCATCTCATAGACAGTGTCCACTAGCTTGTAACTTCATCTCATGGACAGTGCATGAACAAGGCACACGACTTACCTTTCAGAACGTCTTTGAGCTGGACTGAAGCTATGGACTTGTCCTCAAACTGTACCACACATTTCTTTTTGGCCTCCGAGATCTAAAAATAAAACCAAATACAAAAATGGAGTCCAGGCCAGAGGGTGAGTGCACCTTGTACAGTAGTGGTGGTGAGTGCACCTTGTACAGTAGTGGTGGTGAGTGCACCTTGTACAGTAGTGGTGGTGAGTGCACCTTGTACAGTAATGGGGAACTGTGGGGGGTTTGGCGGGTGCTCCGGTGTGCTTTGCTCCTTCTTTCCTATCAAACATCTATCGTCCTTATCTCTCTTACTTCTTTTCTGTATTTAGTTACTCTCTTGTAACACCTCTAATCTTCGGCATTCATATGACCTTATTGTGTTGCAAGTGCTGTTAAACTCTTTAAAAAAAATTTTTTAAAAAGAACCTCCCACTTCCTCCAGCAATGGTGACCCTCCCACTATGTACAGGGTTTGGTACAGACAATAAAAGAACCTCCCACTATGTACAGAGTTTGGTACAGACAAAAGAACCTCCCACTATGTACAGGGTTTGGTACAGACAATAAAAGAACCTCCCACTATGTACAGAGTTTGGTACAGACAAAAGAACCTCCCACTATGTACAGAGTTTGGTACAGACAACAACAAAAGAACAATCCCCCCCCCCCCCCCCCCCGCAAGAAAAAGAGAACAGATTTCATGTTTTCTTTCAAGGACTAGACTTTGCCCTCCTTATGCACCATCACTCAATCAACAACACAACTTGCACAAATGAAAAACCCATCACACTCTAAATAGCCACCAAATCCCATGACAAAGTCCGTATTTAACGAGAAAGATCAAAACCACCAAATCCCATGACAAAGTCCGTATTTAACGAGAAAGAGCGAGAGCGGTCAAACAAGGCGTGGCCGTACCTGCACAATGTTCACGATGTAAAAGAGGCCGTCACTCCACCGGGCCAGTGCCTTTTCCCGTCCAGCTTGCTTCAACGGGGCCAGCCTCGGCTTCCTCACCTCCGACTTCTTCGGCTTCATGTCTTTCCTCACCTGACTCTTCTTCCAGATTGTACGAAATCTTTTCAGATTCATGGAAAGCTGCACGTTTCAAAACATTTCGCCACTCAAGATAAAATCTGGAGAGAAAAAGGAGATCTGTAAACCTATTGCCACACGTTTTCCCTAAAGTGATAACACCAATCAAAAACCACTCAGGGACTGATCCGGCCAGCAGAACTTCCTCCCATGCCCTAAGCAACATTGTCGAGTTCAGACTCTGTCGTCTGCTAGTTCAGGCACACCCACTCGTCATATTGCGCTATTTATCAAATCCTAATCATGACTGGTTTGTCTTCCACAGGGTTCTGTTATATATATATTATCTTCCACAGGGTTCTGTTATATATATATTGTCTTCCACAGGGTTCTGTTATATATATATTGTCTTCCACAGGGTTCTGTTATATATATATTGTCTTCCACAGGGTTCTGTTATATATATATATATTGTCTTCCACAGGGTTCTGTTTTATATATATATTGTCTTCCACAGGGTTCTGTTATATATATATTGTCTTCCACAGGGTTCTGTTATATATATATTGTCTTCCACAGGGTTCTGTTATATATATATATATTGTCTTCCACAGGGTTCTGTTTTATATATATATTGTCTTCCACAGGGTTCTGTTATATATATATTGTC